ATTCTTGCTGGCGATGCATTCGTGTGCCAGCGCTTCTGACCGGTTATGAAACGTCAGGCATTTCAGAGATGCTCTCCTTGTTTAATTACCAACTCCCTGTAATGCGCGCGTTGTCCTCGCTGTTCTGAAACTGGACGCAGAGGCGTAACAGTACTGCTTGCCATCCCCAAGAAACCTTGCCACATTTAGAAAAGTATTTTGGTTGCCTGGATGTCGGGAGAATAACAAATGTTTGTAACAGTTCTCAGCAGTAGGCAGAGACAGGGGATGGCCCGAGGGCAGAAAGGGCTATATATACACAGCAGCAGATGAATCGCAGCACCTGGGGTCGGGGGGGAGGGGGGGAATGAGCTGCAGTGGTAGAGACAGACCCCGTGAGAGAGGCTGTAGGGGGCGAGCCGGCAGACGTGCACACACATAGATGCTCGCTGCAGGAAGCTGCTAACGGCTTAAATTTTTTAGGAGGTTTTGTGCTCGGTCTCTGCTGTGTGAGGCACTAAACCAGGCAGATAAAAGCTGTGAGCACTGATTATAGACACAGAGCATGGTATGGTAGGATGCGTATGCCAAGGAAAGGCCACTGTGTGCTTACATAATTACCACTTAGGTAATTACAGAGCTCACGCCCAACTTGCCATCAAATATAGCATCCTACTCCAGAGGTCTCCGAAGCAGTTCCAGACTGGGGGGCCTGTGCAAAGGGGAGGAGCTTCCAGCTCTGCCAGTGTGCACATAGCAGATGACTGGGATGGGGTGTATGCCTGGGATGGGGCCTCAGGGCTGGCAGCGAGTGCCTCCCTGGCATAAGGGGCCTGCCTTTGAGTTACGGCGCTGTGGGAGGAGGCTGGTTCCCGGGCCGGGGAAGCAGGAACTCATCCCTGCTGCTGAGAGCCGTGCTGGAGCCACACCGTGTGGACACACTCGTCAGGCGTTCATTGGGGATCCGGAGCAGGGTACGGAGCAGAGCAGACCCCAGGCCTTGTTTGATTCTGCACGTGCACGGGTCACCACGTAGGAGTAACTTCAGCAGACCCACTTGGCACCCCGACTTCAACGCAGAGAGCGGGGCAATGAGTACAGTACACAAACCTAAACAGAACCATCTGCTTTGACAATTACGGCTGTGCCATCTGGAGGCCTGGACCCAGCCTGTCCTCGCTTTTGTCAGAGGCTGAGGGACAGCTGCCAGGTAGCGAGGCTTCCGTACTGGAAAGGAGAGATGCCCACAGGACTGACTGGGGTGGTACTGCCTGCTGCTACCCTCCCATCCTTGGCAGCAAATCACTGCAGATAGGGTTTCCAGTTGGAGCGTTCTCAGGCACAGCAGTCAGCTGGCACGTTCACCAGTTGCAAAATGTTTGATATGATGCCCGTGGCAGCCAGACGTGCATAGTCCTGATTAATTCATCTTGACCAATGGTTTGCTGCTATGCCTGTGTAGGTGGAGACTGCAAAACATCATTAAAATCTAATCACGCTCAGGCAAGAATCAATAGTAGAAACTACTGAGATTTCAGTGATGGAAATGAGGCCTGAGATTCTCGTTTTGGCTCTGGAGACTTCATAATTTGATCCTCCTGTTCTGGTGCAGGCAGTTTGTGTAAATGAGTTGAAATCATTTTTTAAACTGCTTTCTTTAGATTCGTACTCCTTGCCAAGTAGAGAAACACATTTTTGAAAGTGCATCTTTGACAGGTCTTGGCCGCGTCTCTCTCCTTCCCTACTTACCTGCAAACAAACAAGGGCCTCCGTAACATCGCTGCTCTGGTAGCTCAGCTCAGGTGCTTGTTACCAAATTGAAAAGTTCGTGTGATGCAGATGTCACAGGGAAAATCTGGTGCCTTCCAGGTTTCTAGTGGGCAAGCTTGTGCACTGCCAGGAGATGTTTGGCACGGGAATAGCAGGGAATCAGAGCTGGATCTCCGACTGTCAAGCTGTCCTGCACTTGCTCTAAGTCAGCCTGATGTATGAGCTGCCCCTGGGTAACTCTGCCACGGTCGGCTGCGTAGATCTGGTTTGTTGCAGATTTTCCCCTCCTGGAGCCTACGGCATCGTCCTTTTTCCAGGAGAGCAGTTCATTGTCCAGCCCCTGATTTGTGCAGCGCTTCAGATTTCCCCAAGGTGTTCTGCTATGGGCTGCGTGGTGCGAAGAGGACAGGGCTCCTTCGGAGGGGTCAGGTAGCATCCCGCTGCCTCGAGGACCGAGAGCTTCCTGCCTGGTCTGTCCGGGAAGGAGCAGGAGGGGGCTGCCTGGGGAGCAGCGGAGTGTGACAAACCACAAGGGTGAGGGGCTGCAAGCAGGATGAATCTCTGTTGGACGTGTTTCTTTCTCAGGGTGTTCCAGCTAGCACTGCTGTGATGATTTCTACATACTGCACTAGAGGGAAGATCTTGTGGAAGATACATACGGAACTGATTTATTGAGATATAAACATCTGAAAGCTTCACTTACAGCGGCTGTAACTGGCTGCTTATCAGTAGCCTTAATATTGTGATCTGCCCTTAACCCTCTTACAGGGAAAAGCCAGGATGTAGGTGCCACACTACAGCTGTATGTCATTACCCTCTCCCAAGGTCTCCAGCAGAATAAGGTGATCCTATAAAAAGCCTCGGGGTGCTGCCAGCAAACAAATCTCTTGCAGGAATTGCATCAAGGCACGGTTCTTAAATACCTGTGGTGGCTACAAAATTGTTTAACTGAAGGTCTTTCGTAGCAGAACATTCTTCATGCAGAACAAAATCGCTGGGGTAGTTAAGATACCGTCCCACGTGCTTCGGTTTTCCTAAGCTGCCTCACTGCCCTGCTAATGATTTAATGGGCGGTTTGAATGCCCCTTCTCATCTCCCCCTCCCAGCCTCTTCTTCGTCCTGCCGTGGGCGATTAATGCCGAAATTGTGCCCTGACATCCGTTTCTGTACTGGTACACCGCTGTGGCCCAAACATACAATTACAGCCTCGGCCCAGGATGGAGCACAGCAGCAGTTTTAATAAGGGTTTTCTTCCTCTCCTCCCACGGCTCTGAAACAAGAGCAAAGGGAATACAGAAAATGGCTGCCCAAGGAAATTGGTTTTTTATAAATGTTCTCCTCTCTCGAGTTTATTCCAGGGTGATAGCCCCGCTGCAGCCTAGGAAAACACACTGGCATTAGCAAGTGATTATTCCAGCAGCCCGGATTCACCCAGCATTCCATCACCTATGGAGGTGATGCATAGGTGGGCTGGAGCTGCTGCATTCATTCTGCTCGGTGCAATTTTTCTTCCTCTTTGTCATAAGTATCCTCATTACAGCTTGCTGATGAGGGCTGGCAATGGGAAGAGTTACCGGGGATTGGACTCGGTACGATAGTCCGCTAATCGCCAGTTCCCAGGCAGAGGCATTTCTCAGGGAAACGCGTCCTCTTGCTGCTCTCGGGCAGTGCTGGTGAATAGTGCGAGACGAGTGCGAGGAGACGGGCTCTGCCGTGCTGCTCCCTGCTCCCAGCGAGGGAGCGGCGGCCCAGCGCAGTGAGGTGGATGGGGGCTGCGCCCCAAAAACCTCCTAGAAGAGGCAGCAGCACGGGCAGCAGCAGGCAGCTCCCGGCACAGCAGTGGGCGGCGGAGCACCGGGTGCAAGGCGTTAACCTGCACTCCCGCCGCGAGCCAGCATGCTTTGTCTTCTTGCAGGATGCAGGGAAGGAGGGGTGGGTAGAAAGGCTCTTCCAGCAGGCACGAGGTTAAATCTTGGGTTGTGCACATTCAGGCAGCCCGCTCTTGCTTCAGCTGAAAACGTGGCAGCGTGGATCAGGCAATGAACCAGTGCACGTAAAGAACGCTGGTAAGTCAAGGCACTGACCTCCGCTGCTCCTTGTGATTTTCAGGTGCTGGCAGAACTGTGGAAGGGAGAAGGGAAGACGCCTCTTGAAATTGTTAAAGAAAAGAAACTTGAACTGATACAGGATCAAAAAGAGCTTGAACGGATCTGCCAGGCGGTGATTGATGGACAAGGAAACGAGGTGATTATGATGGTGCCAGGAAGCTCGTGCACTGTGGCACTACGAAGGGGGCTAAAACGGCCTCTCTCTTTTTCCCCTTTTGATTGGCATTTGAGCCAGCGTCGGAGCATTCAGGCTGCTGCTGAGATATTATCAGGCATTTCTTCTCCTTTACTTTACTAAGTGGTTTTTTTTTAAATTGAAGCTTCTGCAAAGTGATCAGCAGGAGAAACTACCAGGCTGGCTAATGTGCTGAGCCGCTCTGAGATGCCCTAAGAACGTAATGCCGGGAAGCGAAACGGGCGGGCCCTGTCCCTCTTAACCTGACTGGCCACCCGGCCTCCTCACTCCGATTTTCAGGTCATCTGTTGTGACATCAGGCCAGCACCGTTAAACCCTTCTGAAGCTGGAGGTGGAACTTACCCGCCAGCGAGGCCCGTGTTAGTTACGGAATTAGAGACTATCAGAGCCAGCAAGGCAGAAAATGTACTTGCAGCTGTCTCCTTGCCATGTCCCTGTCTCCCTCCACTGCCAAAGAGATGAGTCTCCTGGCCCTCCTGCCTGACAGTGGCCATGGCGTGGGGAGGAGCCGGCACTGGGGGCTCCAGAGCTGCCGCTGGGCTGTGGCAGCGGCACAAATGCTGCAGTGGGAAAGATGGGGTTTTGGCTGTTCCCCGTCTCCTTGGAATGACGCGCGGCAGCCTGCGTGGCTCATCTGTCTAACGAGGTCTGAGCCGGGAAAAGGGAAAAAACCCTTGTTGCTCGTGAAGGGGGAGAGTGGGAAGGGATCTTGACAGAGTCTAAAAACTGCTTTATAAGAAGCAAAATGAAAACAAGTGCTTATATGTTCTCTGGAGCGAAAATGTAAAGGCAGAAGTGAATAGCTTGCTCCTAATGTAAACGTCGGCTGGATACATCTGCCATGTGGGAAAAAACATTAACATCTTTTGAGAACAATACCACCCGCCCCGGCGCTCGCCGGGGGATGCTCACAGCTCCGCGAGAGCTTTTGATAAAGAAAATGAGCTTGCAGTAGGTCGGCGCGACCTCCACCAGCCCGGCTCGTTTGCAGAGCCCGATAAAAGTGCCGCCGTATCTCCAGATGGGTACGGGAGCAGGAGCGTGGGTAGAAGGGACATCAGAACTCCCTGGGAAGTGCAGAAGCTGAAGGTCCAGAGCTACGCTCCCATTTCAATCATCATAATGCTTTCTCTGAGCAGGTAATTCCTCTCTGGTTTCCACTGGTTTAGTCGAGCCAGATGCAGCAGAATGGCCTCACTTCCCTACTTTTTCCAGGTGATCTTTCACCAAGGCAAAAGAAGGCCTGTAATTAATGGCTGTGAGAGCTCACCGGGAGCAGAGCCCTTGACAGGACACTAAAACCGGCGTGCTGTGCTCTTTGGCAGTAACTTCTTCAGAGTGAACTAACTTGCAAACAGCTGCTCCAGCAGCACTGAGCGCGCGCTGGAAACGCTGAACCTGGACTGCGCCGCGCCCTGCCCCATACAGGGAATTTTTGTCAGAGCAGGAGAACCGAGTCCCTTCCATGTTGTGACATTACAGGGAAGACGTTTGACCGCTAATAATTCAGCTACCATAAGGAGTAGCAGTATTTGTGCGTGGGGTTGGCACAGTTGGTGTGCGTGCCACGCGTTCATGTGCTCGCACTCCTCCCCTTGACTTCTGTATGTGTGACATCCCGTGTAATCGAAGCCATCGCGTTTTGCCCAGTAACTCTGACAACGTCGAGAATGTCTTCCCTGCCACGCACGCAGTATGTAGGCCACTGGCTTTTAGTTCCGCAGGAGCACCTCCTTTAGAAATGCCCAAAAGTGAAATTTCCAGTGCTTTTTTTCAGGATCATAGAATCACAGAATGGTTTGGGTTGGAAGGGACCTTAAAGATCATCCAGTTCCAACC